CAATCGAGAAGGAGGGAGTCTTCAAGGCTCCGGGTGGAGTGTGCACCGTTGCACCTCAGCTACCCCAGGCCTGGCAGCTATTTGTCGCAGACCCAGTACGCGCTATGTCCTTGCAGTCTGCTTGACCGCCCTCGGGCTGGAGCTTCGCTACACTGACCCAGTCGTGGGTGGAGGAGGGGGTTGCGTAGGCGGATACTCGCTGTCATGATACCTCACAAGGAAGCGTATAAATAAAATAAAGGATAAAGCATTTGCCGTTGATCAATCCCTTTTTGGGATGCGGCACGCATTCTACTTCCATTTGTACATTCGTAGTGGCGTTTGAATGCGATGTGGCCTATACAATGACTTGCGGGGGCCAGCCGATGTACAAGTCAGTGTTTTTATCCTCCCAGACAAGTCTGGTACCAATTAACCGACCCCGGAGGGATGGAAGGCTTGGTTGGCCCGGGCGACTCACGACCCAGGATTTGATCCCCGGACCGCTCGCGTGGTAAGCGCGCCACTTGTCACTACACCACTTCCGCCCTATAAATAGTGAAATATAAATAAAGTCCCGAGTAAAAATAACGAATGGGCAGTGTTGGTGAGCATATGCGAATGGCGCTATTACCGGCGCGGATACCACAAATAGGGCTCAAAGGCCAAATTTTCGTCACCATAAACTTTCCTTCCCTCCGGGGTCAAGTAAAGGGATTCTAGCACGCCTTAGACGATAAATGCATTGATTCGTCGGCTTGCAACTTGTTGTAGATTTTTTCCAAATACGCATTTGAAGACCTCACTGATCTATGAGGAAAGCCAAATGCATGGCGCATACCAGAAAGAGAGTGTGAATCCATTTTTTAGGTTATTTGATTTGATTTGAGGTTATTTGACAATAGTCGTTGTGATACAAATACCTTGTAATTGATGTTTAGTGTTCCATTCTGGATTCCTTGAATGAGCAATGCCGAAAGTGTGGGAATGTATACACCAGCATACGATTCACCAGGTTGTGTAAAAGGGTCGACTTTGATATTCAGGATAGAGATTGAAGAAATCCACAAGAGCCGCGTAGTTTTCGGCCGCCGTCTGAAATATTGATTAGTAGATCAAAATTCACCCTAAAAATAGATTTTCACATTTCAGAATGGCTAAAATTTCGGAATGCTCGCGTAGACAACGAAACTGATTCTTTTCGTTTCATACGCTCTCGATGATTTGGTTCTAGTCCATTGCCCTGTTTCGAAACACCCTGAGCAACCACAGTCGTGCCGCGTCGCGGCCGCGCGCGTATGATGCCGACATTTTTGCCCTCGAAAGCAATTTATGGAGTAGACCAAAAAAAAAAAAAAAGACAGACCAAAGTATACCTCCACAAATTTTAACTTCAGTATACATGCAAATGCGAGACTTACCAGATCGTCAGAGTACTGCGGCTGATTACCATCTGTGGAGTATGAATAGCCAACTCCCACCGGAGATTCCAAATAGAGAACATTGGCAAACTGAAATGCAAAAGGTTTCTTCAAAGATATCGGAGATTACAGTGAATGGAGAAGCTCACATGCTCAGATCTCTTCGTTTTCGAAGCTTTTGATAAAGCTGCTTAGAAGTGAACTAATGACGGCTAATGTGAGCTAATGGACGAGATACCTCGCGTACACCTCATGACACGCAACGTGAGCCATGGCGGCTAATTCAAATACGCGCGAATTAGTGGAGCCATGGAGCAAGCAAGTCAAGACAACTCGTCCAACCCGCCTCTTCCCCATTTCAAAAAAGCAGTTCGTCGTCCTCAATTTCATTATCGAGAATGCCATCACTCTGATCTGCAGTTGACGCTTCAAAAGTAATCTATGAAGAGTTTGAAAGAAGCTTCGTAATCATCATAAAGCTCCGGAATTCTTAGAAGCGCTACGGAAGAATTAAATGCAGTAGTAGTGCAAGTCAGAATCCGTGCTTACAGAGCCATTGATTGGTTGATGGCAGTTGGAGGCGGTCCAACCACACCATCGGCACTCTGATCGGACCGCCTCCCAAGACCATTGGAGCAATTACCTCAACCCCATCTCGCAATTATCGCACCCAATGCCTTTAAGACTTTGGAGGAAGAAGCTAACCTGATTCCATGCGTATGGGTTTCTTGTGATGGACTTGCCGTCCTTACCAATCCTGAACGGTCCGTTTTCAAGAAATAGGCCTTCTAATGAGCTTGATCCTGGACCGCCATTCAACCAGAGCAGCAGTGGAGCCTGAGCCGGATCAACCATTTCTGATTCCACTAACCTGAAGTAAAAATTCAAAATTCAAGGCCGACCGTGAAATAGCTGCAGCTCTTCTTTAGAATATATAATAATAATAATAATAATAATAATAATAATAATAATAATAATAATAATAATAATAATAATAATAATAATAATAATAATAATAATAATAATAATAATAATAATAATAATAATAATAATAATAATAATAATAATAATTAATAATAATGCAGCATGTGAGTAGCGGATCCTCGAAGGAACCCGGAATACT